CAGCATTTTCAGACATTCTATGACAATTTTAGACACTCTACAACATTTTCAGACACTACAACATTTTCAAATACTCTACGACATTTTCAGACACTTTACGACCTAGATCTACGATATTTTCAGACACTCTACGACATTGGTCGTAGACAATTAATAAAATATTTTATTATGTATGAATAAATAATATTCATATTATTGCGGCAAGGTTTATTTCTCAACCAAATATGTTTAAAAAAAAACAACGTGAAAAAACATATCCAGATAAACTACAGGATTTTCAGACATTCTACGACAATTTTAGACATTGTACAATATTTTCAGACACTCTACAACATTTTCAAATACTCTACGACATTTTCGAACACAGTACGACATTTTCAGACACTCTATAACCTAGGTCTACGACATTTTCAGACACTACGATCTAGGTCTACGACATTTTCAGACACTGTACGACATTTGTCGTAGGCAATTCAAAAAGATTTTATTATGCATAAATAAATAAATAAATAATATTCATATTTATGTTTTTTGGTGGTACGGTTCTTTCGCAACTAAATATGTTCGAAAAAGCAACGCAAACAAATATTTCCAGACAACCTACAGCATTTTCAGACATTCTACGACAATTTTAGACACTCTACAATATTTTCAGATGCGCTACGGCATTTACAGATACTACCACCTAGGACCTAGATCTACGACATTTTCAGACACTCTCCGACCTAGGACTAAGACATTTTCAGAGACTCTACCACCTAGGTCTACGACATTTTCAGACACTCTACGACCTAGGTCTACGACATTTTCAGACACTCTATGACCTAATTCTACGACATTTTCAGACACTCTACGACATTGGTCTACGACATTTTCAGACACTCTACCTAGGTCTACGGGGTCTACGACATTTTCAGACACTCTACGACCTAGGTCTACGACATTTTCAGACATTCACGACCTCAGTCTACGACATTTTCAGACACTCTACGACCTAGGTCTACGACATCTTCAGACACTCAGACACTCTACGACCTTTTCTACACTCTACGACATTTTCAGACACTCTACGACCTAGGTCTACGGGGTCTACGACATTTTCAGACACTCTACGACCTAGGTCTACGACATTTTCAGACACTCTACGACATTGGTCGTAGACAAATAATAAAATATTTTATTATGTATGAATAAATAAATAAATAATATTCATATTTGTTTTTTTGCGGCATGGTTTATTTCTCAACTAAATATGTTCAAAAAATGTACAATAGGTGTCTTTGCCATTAAAAGACTTCAAAAACCAAATAAATTCACAAATAAATATATATTTATTTAGGAAAAAAATAAAGGTAACTGATAGTATACGAATTATATTAGTATTTTTTTATATAAATTTGTTGATAGCAACAAAATAAAACGACATTATCAATTTGTGCTAGAGATAAGATATCAAATGTCAAAGTAAGGTTAACAAATTTTCAAGATCATTTTAAAATTACATTTTAGTCTATTTCTTACCATCATGGCTGGTAACATAATAACATCCAAAGATCAAAATGATCTGATCAAGTCTTTGTGCAACAAAATCGAGCAACTATCCAACCAAGCAATTAAAGAACGAAGCAGATTCACAATTGGCCTATCAGGAGGCTCCTTAATAGACTTTCTAGCAGCAGGTTTGCCTGGTATAAACACAGATTGGACAAAATGGCTATTTATATTATGTGATGAGCGCATAGTCCCAGAAAACGATAAAGAATCAACCGCTGGCCAATACAAATCCAAACTCTTCACCAAGATCCAAATCACACCCTCACAATTCCTCACAATCGACCCAAACTTACCACCATCATCATGTGCAGACTCTTACAGCAACAAATTAAAACAACTCTTCCCCAACGATCCACTCCCCAAAATCGATCTATTACTTCTGGGTCTTGGACCGGATGGACACACCTGCTCGTTGTTCCCAGGACATCCAGCACTATCTGTTACCAATAAGTGGGTTGTAGGGATTGATGATTCACCTAAAATGCCCCCACAAAGGATAACACTTACTTATGATGTAATAAATAATGCTAGGAGTTGTATTTTTGTGGTAGCCGGCAAGGGAAAAGCTGAAACGGTTAAGAGGATTGTAAAGGATGGAGAAGATTTTCCAGCAGGAATGGTTAAGCCGGTTGGCGGGGCTGTTTGGATGTTGGATGAAGAAGCTGGGAGTTTATTAAAATAGGTAATGTAATAGATGATAAATTTAATTATAATAAATAGAAGTCCGCCTGAAGGCAGGTCCATGTATGAGAGCACAACAAAATCAATGATCAGTAATGATCATTAATCACTTTATATTTGTTTTCATGGATTTTCTTTTCCAAACTTGTGCTTCCATGCTTCTTGGTCCTGTGCAGCGGCTTTCAGTTCTCTGTATTTCCTCTTCTCACAAAAATCATCAACCATCTGCATTCTTCTTCTTCCAATTCTTTCAGTCCTTCTATTTTGTTTTCAATGACATTGTGTAGGAGGCATTCTTTTTGCAGAAGAGTTCCGATCCAGTTTTCTTTTCTTTTCAGGATCCAGTAGAGTCCTTTTTTCGCCAACTTTTCTCAAGACTTCTTCATTTGTCATCTTTGTTAATATAATATTAAAACATATTTCTTTAGTATTTGTTTTACATTTTTAATTTATAAATGTTTTTTAGGTTTCAAGAACAAGTTTACTCAATCACGAAAGATCAATAAGACTCAATAAACAGAATTTAATCACTACATTTGAATGTTGAAATTTATGGGGCAATTCTGCCATAACAAAGAGTTGTCATGGCAACACTACCCTAAGTTTGTTTTTTTGGTAGTGAAAACTGTAAAAATGTCTATCTATAGAAAATAGATAGCCATTTTCACAGTTTCACTACTAAGAAACAAGCATAACATAGCGTTGCCATGACAACTGGATCATGGTTTATGTGTACTATTAAAACATAAAATTTTAATTTTAATATTATTAGAAGTTTGATTCAATAATGAAATATAATTAATAAATTATTAAAATAATATATTTTATACCATTTATATTTTTTTACTGTGAATTGTTATATAATGAATAAAGTGCTGGTATTTGTTAATAGTATTTGTTTTTACCCATATAAGATACTATAAAAACTAGTTGTAATAATAATAATAAATAGTAGTCTGCGCAGGTCCATGGTGTGAGAGCCACCACAAATAAATGATTCCCTATCCCTTCATCATGTATCACTATATTTTAATTGTTAATACACCATTAACACTATATTTTTCCTCCTCTTTTTACACATTTTTTTTATGTATTTCCTTTCCAAACTTCTGCTTCCATGCTTTCTGATCCTGCGCTTCGGCTTTCAGTTCAATCATCTGCACTCTTTTTCTTCCCAATCCTTTCTGTGCTTCTATTTTGCCTTTGACGACGTCGTGTAGGAGGCACTTTTTTGCTGATTGAGTTTTTTGCCCACTCTTCTCAGGACTTCTGTATTTATTGTTGTCTTGTCAGTCCACTTTATTTTCTCCATTCGCCACAAAACCACATTTTAAAACACTCCAGATAGTTCTTGTCGGCCTTTCTTAGAGTCATGTCTCCGATCCAACTCCAGTGATATGATCCAAACGCACTTTACCAGTCTCTTCCGCAAGTCGAAGTTCAGTTTGCTCGTCAGTAGCGTTCACTTCTTTGTTGCAATCCTTGTCCTGATCTCTCTTGTGCAGTATTCGTCTTTGGTCAGAATGCTTTTTAAATCGGGTCACCCGTTTTGAGACAAAAAGTGAAAAATCCGTTCACATACGTTCTCACACACTCTCTCCAGTTTTGTTCTGATCCCACGATTCAAAATAACCGGAAACGACAACGAAACATAAAATTAGGGAGTTGGATTTTCTGGCAAAAACGTAAACTTGTCAGTAGATAGTTCTAGCAGTAACCAAGCTTAGACATATAGTATGCTTAGTAGATAAACTACTGCGACACATGAGTTATTTCCTTTCGCATTATATACTTCTGGTTAAATAAAAATGTCTAATTTTGTGCCAAACAATCGTCATTTGCGAAAACTGCTGATTTTCTTCTTCCATTCGAAAAAACGGCAGCTCAAGCGCATCAAGAGCTCCAAAAAGTGCACGGAAATGCTTTTCTGAGAGAAACAACATGCCGTGATTAGCTTCGTCGCTTCAAAGACGGTGATTTTGATATTGACGACTGTTCTCGTGAAGGAAGGCCCAAAACCTTCGAAGGCGCTAAATTGGCGGACTTGCTCGAAGAGGATTAGGGGTTACCCATCAAGCCATTTACAAGCGATTGCGTGCGTTGGGAAGTAGTACAAAACAGGAAAGACCAAAACCTTTGAAGACTTGCTCGAAGAGGATTGGTGTCAAACTCTGAAAGAGCTTGCTTCAGAATTAGAGCCATTGCCAAGGGATTGCATGCATTGATGAGTAGTACAAAACAGGAAGGTCCAAAACCTTCAAATACGCAAATTTGGAGGCCTGGCTCAAGAGGACTCGCGCCAAACTCAAGAAGAGCTTGCTTCAGAATTAGGAGTTCCCCATCAAGCCATTTCCAAGTGATGGCATATTTTGGGGAGTAGTACAAAACAGGAAGGTCCAAAAGTACATTAGGAAAACCGTTAATTAAAAAACATAACACTGCAAATCCTTTTTAAAGTAAAATATAGTAATAAGTTGAATTATTTTTTATTCAAAATCTTAAAAAAAAAAACAAATTTCTATATAGTGACTTAGCAGTCTGAATAATCAAATAAATTTTAATTTATTTATAAATTAAAATTTATTTATCAATTTATGTACAATTCAAATTTTATATATTAATTATATAAATTATTGATCAAAATCCTAGCTAAAGAAAAGCTAATAATCGAAATATTTATATCACTATAATTGCAAATATTATCAAGTAGTAAATTATAAGACTTGAAACTATTTGCAAAATTATGGCTTATTTTATCTGTATCATTAAAAGTACCTTATAAATTAATTATATACATATTCATGTTGTGATTATCCATTAGATAATATTAAATTCACTCATTAGATTCCGAAATACTCGCTGCTGATGTTAAATACACTGAAGCACCATTATTCTGGCCGACTTGTAAGATTTGTGACTGTGCAGTCGACCTCGGCAAAGCTTGTAAGACTATCGGTTGTGATGTGTTATTCTGCATTTGCATTCGAATCATATTCAATTGTGCCGGTGTCACAGATATAGGAACATGTTGCACCTCTCCAGAAGGCGATACAATCTGTTGCATAATTTGAATGTTACTTAAGCTATTGTTACTCGTTGTTAAAGGCGTTGTCAAAGTTGCTGTTTGTGCATTATCCGCTGTTGTTACATTTTGAGTAGTAACTTCTGTGGTGTTATTGGTTGCTTGTGTGACTGTTTGTTGTTGTTGTTGTTGTGCTTGGTTTTGTTGTTGTGCAAGCTGAACGTAGTACTGTATTTGCTCAGAAGTCAAAACTCTAGATACACCCTCTTCACGTGGCTTTTGGGGTTTAATTTCATCCCTGGGCACTATGTCTATCAAAAAATCAAACTGATCATTTATTGTAACAGCCATTGCAATATCACTACGCTGTAACGTCCTTCTTTTATTATCCTCTGTGTGTGTCCATGCTCGTAGAGTTAACTCGTTTATAAATATCTCTGCAGCTTTAGCAAACAACATAGGTGCTTCTGCAGAAATCATTTTTACATCGTCATCTAATTTCATGATCTTCTTTATACGTGCTAAAGGTAAAGATTGGTGTTTGAAGTCCTCAGCAGTTACGTTGTTTATTTCTTCCATAACTTTGGGCCAGAAATTTGCCAAACTTATTTGAGCCTCTGTGGGAGAGGTCTCTTGGGCAGGCGTCATTTCAGATTTTTCTTCCATTAGAACTAAGAAGTAACAGGTTAAATATTAAATGTAAACAAAGATGTAAATGTAACCACAATACCTGGAGTTAATCACGTACAAAACAGTATAGAAGGTTTATGGTAAGTTTGTATATAATAAATTAATAGTTAGCACCCGTTAGCACTAAATAATATAAATATTTAATAAATATAAATAAATGTTAAATCACAGTATTTTCGGCTTGTAAAAGCTGTCAAAAATGACGCCCATGTACCAACATAACAAAAATATAAAGGTACATCCACACCTAACAAACGCCATTATTCAAAATTAGTTGGAATAATTTAAAATTTTATATTACAATACTCTTTGAAATAAAATATGCATATATCAAAGCAACACTTAACAGTTTATATCAAACAAACTCAATAATACTCAATACTCAATAATATATTTAACTAGTTGGTATTGGTATTTTGCCTTGACGCAAGTTACATGAACTTCCCGATATGTGTAAATAATCGACTTAATAAAAAAAAAAAAAAATTATGAATGATTAAAAGTATTCCGAGTGTATTTATTACACATAATTGAAAACGAACGAATACGTTAACTCGGAGTATTTTCTAAAAGCAAATTTTCAAAAATCAATAATTTTTATAATTAAACCAGTTTCCGTAGAATTTTAATGGTTTAATATGTTCATTAAGACCAAGTACTCTATCGTTATAGTAAAGTAAAGCATCTAATTTTAATTTTAACAAAGGTAAAAAAAAACTATTCATTTTCTCAAACTTTGACGAATTTTTAAAGTTAAACGAGTTTTTGTAGGGGCCGTAATATTTTAGTATGATCTTTAAGACTATGGTATCTACCGTCAAAAAAGAAAAAAAAAAATCGAATTTTTTTTAACATTTTATGACAAGACGGCCCGGCCGGTTTTTACCAAAAACTAATCAGCACGATTCCCAACAAACATCTTTCGAAACGGTTTTTGAATTTTCAAATCGATTCAGATTGCGGGCTAAAACGTGGACGAAAGATTTTTCACTTTTCTGAGATTTACAAAGAAACGTGCGGCGATCCTAGCGCAAAACTGCAAAACGCTAGTCCTCATCGAGATACATGGGATGGCTTTTAAATTTTTGAAATCGTTCCAGCCGGTTTGGAGAGAGCGATGATTTGCGGCAAAAAATCTGTTACCCACACACACATACTTTTTCCAAATTGGTCTCATTCGATTCAGAACGGTTTGAAACGTCGAGAAAACATAACATAAAAATAGCGAATCGGATTTTTGTGAAAACATAAACTTCTCCTTTGGGCTAAAAATATTTTTAAAATTATCATTTATCAATGTTGCAACAGGCCGCCATTGCCGCCATGTTTGACAGTTTTGACAGCCAATATAAATAGTTCATCATGTCAACTGATTTGTTAATTTTAAGTTTAACTCGAAGCTAATAATTTAAATGTGAAAAAATTAGAATATTATTATGTCTCAACTACAAATAATCAATCAATTAAAATAGAACCATTGGATGATATAAATTCGGATAAGCAAAATGAAAACAGTAGTCTTGTCAATAGTCAAATATATTCAGACGACGACGAAGGTTGTTTAGAAAAGATTTGAAAAGTCTGACATAAAAGTAGAGCAAGAAATAGTAACAGAAATAATCCGTGTACCTGCCAAGAAACAAAAAACACGCAAATGCCAAATTTGTGACAAATCCTTCCCTAAAGCCTGCGATTTAAAAAAACACATGGTCTCTCACAGTAACGACAGACCTTACACTTGCATAACTTGTAATAATACTTTCAAACGCTCCAAAGCCCTATCGGCTCACTTAAAATTCCATTCAGGCACCAAACCATATGTGTGCGATATATGCAACCAAGCATTTCCTCATACAACAGCTTTAAGACACCAAAAAGTATTCCACAAAGGAGCACGCAAATATAAATGTGAGATATGTAACAAAGCTTTTATTCGGGTAGGTCATTTACAACAGCATTTAGCAACTCATACAGGTGAACGGAAGTTTAAATGTGATTTCTGTCCTAAAACATTCACACAATCAGGCAGTTTATCAAATCACATAAATACCCATACAGGATTGAGATTGTATGAATGTGACAAGTGTGATAAGACATTTAATAATTCCAGTGACCTCCATAAACACTTTGTGACCCACAACGAAGAACGACCGTTCGAATGTGAGCTGTGCAATAAATTATATAAACGTCCTGCACATTTAAAACAGCACATGTTGCTACATGCAGGTGTGAAGCCCTATAAGTGTGATATTTGTGATAGAATGTTCAGTCGG